TCTCTCTCTCTCTCTCTCTCCTGCTCTCTCTTTCTGACAGGTAATTAAAAATAAAACAACTAGGCTGGGCATGGTGGCACGGGCCTGTAATCCCAGCTCTTGGAGGCTGTAAACAGGCAGATCAGGCAGATCACTAGGAGTCCAATCTAGTAGTGAGACCCTGAACACCCTGTAGACCCTTCCCTAAAAAAAATACCAAAAAATAAAATAAAACAACTAAGCTAGGCATGGCAGTACATGGCTGCGATCCCAGCACTCATAGGTGACAGGATAGCTGCAAGCTCAACAGCAATCTGGGTTACTCCGTGAGTTCAAGGCCAGCCTGAACTGCATGGCAAGACCCTGTCTCAAAAAAATATCAGAACATTTCCCCCATCTTTACATCGTATTTAAGCACCTCTTAAAGCTATCTCAAAAATAAACATGTGAACACATAAAGAGCCATCTCATCTACCCCAGAATTCCATAGACTTTAAAACCTCTGCAGTAGGGGTCATCAATGATCACGCCCTGCAATTCACTCACATGGAGCATCCGCTATAGTCCATTTCCTGCAAGAGATGCGCTATAAGGTGCGCTTCACACTGCACAACTGTGTGATGAACATAAAATCACTGGATGTGGGCTGCGGGCATAGTTCTATGGTTGAATATGCTTCCCTACATCCGCAGAGCCCTAGATCTGATCCTCAGCACTGCCCCAAAGGAAACTAAACAAATGCACACGGAGAAAAACACATTCGTAGTAGTGAAGGGTTAGGGGGAGGGTGGAGGGGGAGGGAGGGGCAGGTGGGACACAGGGGACTTGTCGCATGGGGGAAGGACCTCCTTCCTACAGCACAGAGCAGTAGATGAGCATCTTCCTGCCAAACCACAGAGCAGGTGACACGCATGCTGAGCATCAGTGTAAACAGCAGACACTACAACCTAGAGCTGCTCTTTTATAAGGCCTCTGGAAAAATGCCCTTAAATGTGTTTGGTTATGTGCACTCCCATTTTCTCCCTTCCTCTTCCTTGCCTCATTGTTTGTTTGGTTTTTTTTTTCAATTTATGTATTTGGTACAAGGTCTCGCTACACAGCTCAGACTTGTAGTTATCCTCCTGTTTCAGCCTCCCTAGCTCTGGGATTACAGGCATGTGCTACCACGCCTGGTTTCAGTGGCTGGCAAGGTGCGCCCGGAGATTTGGAGCAGGCACAGCATGTGGTACTGGGGTCAAATCCAGGCCCTTGTGCTTGCCAGGCAGGCACTTAGACCATCGAGCTATCTCCCCAGCCCTTCCCTCATTGTTTTTCACTGGGCTCATTCCTTCAGCTTTCTGAGTTTGTCCTTACTCTAGCATGAGTAGAGAAATCTGCAAAATCTCCTTAGAAAACCATCTTTAAGATGTGCACTTCCAGGGCCCAGCAAATAGCTCAGCAGATTAAAGTGCCTGCAAGCAGACGCAGGGGCAAGGTGTTTGATCCCTGGGGCCTGCCGTACTGGCTCCGCCCCCGGGGCACACTAAAACAGCAATAGAGACTGGGTGTGGTGGCGCACCCCTGTAATCTCAGCTCTTGGGAGGTTACAAGCAGGTGGATCACAAGTCCAATCTAGTAGTAAGACCCTGAACACCCTGTAGACCCTTTCCTAAAAAAATAAAAAAAAAAGATGCACACTCCTGAATCCAGTTATATTTTAAGAATCAAGGGGCCCATGACCTGTGGGGCTTTCTTACCTACTTAGATTTTGCCACAGTGAAATCCAACCCAAGGAATGACAAAAGAATATTTTAGTGAATGCAGAAGGGTTCGGTGAAAATTAGATCGTTTCCATGGGGGCAAAAGAAATCCTCAGCCTTACTCCATCCTGGTCCTTGCAAGTGTTGTAGACAACAAGGAACAAAACTCACAGCTGGATTTGGGACCAGCCCCTAACACAACTATGCCCCAAAAGCCAAGGCCAAAACTTGCCCTGAGAAGAAAGGAAAGGTATGCGCTGTGATTTACTGAGTGAAAGCCTTATGCTCAAGTCATCTCCTTACATTTCCAAGAGTCTGATACAACCTCCCCATGCCACCCTGCAGGGCTGAGGGTAGGGCCTCACTCTCCAGCCCTGGGCTAGACTCTCGGCCTACAGTCACCTAATTCCCGTGCTGATCACCACAGCCTGCAAAGTTCCATCCGCATAGCAAAAGCACAGTTTGCCGCACACACACTGAGGCATGCTGATTTTACACATTTCTGTGGGAGGTTGGACACAGATGCCCACAGCACGGAAGAATTATCCTTGAGCAATGTTTAGCGCAAGCTTTTCTGCAGGTGACATGCTGCCGGCTTCTGTACATGCCCACTGACACCACTACCTGGCCTACAAAATTCCCTGCCTAACAGGCTACTCCTGGGTCCCTAAAGCGACACACCTGGATGGGTCAGGCCTACCACAGGCTTCCACCGAAATGAATTTCTATTCAGAGAGTAAATGTGCTCTCTCTAAAATGACCCTAAAAATGGATTTCCAGGGGAAGGAGCGGGTGGAAAAAAACAAATATAAATACCAGTTCCAACTGGTGAGACAGAGGGTTGTAAAAATTAATGAGAATAATTGTTGTGAATTCTTGCTTTTGAAAAAAAAAAAAAAAAAACTTCGAGAGAGCCAAACATCTTAATTATGTCTCTCTATTAGGGATTCATTTCCTGGTCCCAACCAGAAAACTCATACCTCATAAATATGGGCTCCATACACAATGATTTAAGCAGGAGGAAAATGCCTCTTGATGGAAAACTCAGCTAATATCGGGATAGACTTGCCTGCATACACGGGCATTGTTGTGAGAGCCGGGAAATGAAATGCCCACGTGACTCTTAACACCTAAATATTTCTAGGGTTTGCTCTGAGAATTGCTGACAAGTCCGACGAGGACTTTACAAAAACACGTTTCACAGAGCAAACGTCGCTGGGGAAGATTCCAGTGTTTAAATATCTTTTTCAAGCTGTCAACCATCTGGGGAAATAACTCCCAAATCCATCTCGGGAGTGCAGCTGGGCTGGGGAAATCCGTCTAGTCGTTAGGAGCCCCATGGTCCCAGCTGTGAAGACTGCCACTCACCTCCCTCCACCTGAGTGCACTGAGCTCTTTGACCCAAAAATATGGAGGCCAGTGTTGGCCAGCCTTGCCCTGACACCTGAATCACACGATTGCTTCGCTTTTCCTGCCTCTATCCCAAGCAAAATGCTATGCAAATAATCCTTGAAATTGAGGGCATGCTCAGGGAACGGACCAAAGAAACCACAAGGACTAACATTTGTAATTATTTTTCAACCACACCAATAAAAACTTACTGAACATCTTAGTGTTTTAAATTTTAAAATAGCCAGGGAGTGACCCTAGTAGGGCAAGAGTTTTTCAGAGTCTAAGCTGTGAATGGGGTTGAATAAACTCATCCATCAGATGGTCAGCCAGCAGCTTAAGTCCTTACTCTCAGAGACAATCTCAGCTAATCTCACAATCCCAGGAGGCAGGTGCTTTTTTTAATCCCCATTTTATAGACAGGGAAACTGAACGAAGGGCTCCGCCCCAAGCCAAGTAGATCTGAATCGAAGCAGTCTCCCCCCAGACTCCATTCCGAACCTACACTGAGTAGGAATTCAGCTGGTTTCAACCCATGACATCAGAAGTCTCAACACCTAGCCCAGGTGGGACAATAAAGCCATGAGCAGGAGTCTACAAATCACACGTGGCCCTGGTCCGCTTCGTTAAATCACACATCATATATCCATGCAGGAAAGGCCTGCTGAAGCCCTGCTGCTGCCTGCCGAAGTGCCCTGCTTCAGACCAGCTTCTCATACAGACAGCAGGTGCCTTTGGGACACATACAAAGCAGAGGAAAAGTTTACATGAGGCAGGGGGACAGGTAGCACTCCTAGGAAACCCCTCTTCTGCACAGCGAGGAGTCTATCAGGCTGGCCTGAAAGAACTTTCTTTCTTTTTTTTTTTTTTAAATATTTTTTATTTATTTATTTATTTATTTTGTGTGTGTGTGGCCAGCTCAGCCCACCAGGGGGCGGGGCTGGCTGGCATGTGGTGCTGGGGGATTGAACCACGGTCCCTGTGCTTTGCTTAGCTTGTTCTAAATAGGAGCTTTAGACCACTGAGCCAACTCACCAGCCCAAATAACAGGCTAGATTTTGTTTATTTTTTTTTTTGGTTTTTGGCAGAACCGGGGATTGAACTCAGACCCTTGTGCTTGCCAGGGAAGCGCTTATCCCACTGAGCCATCTCCCCGGCCCTTTTTTTAAATGATCTTTTTTTTTTTTTTTTTTTTTTGGTGGTACCAAGGATTGAACTCCGGACCTAGTGCTTGCCAGGCAAGCACTTATTCTACTGAGCTATCTCCCTGGTTCTGAAAGAACTTTCTATGCAACTCAATATACTTGACTCACTGGGCCAACACAGAAAGGCAAGAAAGCAATTCTTGGTAGGGTCTTCACATATACACACCCAAGTGCATCACTGGAAACATACACCATTAGACAGATGAGCACAGAGACACACAATACCATGTGTGGTCACCACAATTTGCACATGCCCACCAGTTGGTTAGGCATGCATTCATGCACACAGATCCCTAAATATACACGTCAGGGGAGGCATTCCTAGAAATCTGAGAGCCATTGGATACAGCTGTGAGTTTGGGTGATAGTTTCACTAGTAGGTACATATGTGTATGTACGTCCGACCTGAAATGGCACTTGTAGAGTCATGCACCTCACGGCAGGCGCGTGCATGTAAGCAGCTCTGCAGTAGGATGTGGAAGGCCGTGAGTTCTATCCCGAGCACACAAAAGTGAGAATAGAGAAATCCTCAACAGTATGCTATAAATACTGCCTGTCACTGTATGACAGTCAGGCTTTAATCAACCTGAGGACAAGGTGCAAGAAGAGAGGCAGAAAGGTCCTAGAGCATAGAAATCCTCCCTGCCCCCCGGACTTAAGAGTCCATACTTTTTTTGCAAGTCATATGTCCACTTCTTTCTGTCCTTTCTCTTTGAGCATGGACTTCCTTGGGAGAAAAAAAAAAAAAAAGACTGGATGTATTTTGGGACACTGTGTCAGGTCTGGGAGGTTCTAAAATATGCAGGCTTGAGCTTCCTCCTTGCTATTTTTTGTAGTGACCGCCACAAAGTTAAACACAGGTTTGTGGCCACCATGGAGCAAAGAGGTTTCTGCAGGCCAGACTCAAATGCACCCAAAATAGTTTTACAGCTTTTAGGTGTGCTGCTCTTGCTGCTTCAGCAAGCGAAGGGAGGAGGGGGCTCAGAAAGAAAAAAATCTTCCTTCAACTTAATAAGTAATTCTCCCAAGATCTGGAAGGGAGTGTCCACCACAGCTCAGCCTGGTCACCAGCACCTGAGGCTGCAGATTTGCTGGAAGTCTTTCACAGCCCTGGCCTCGGCAGGGGCATCGCCTGCCTGCCATGCAGCCTGCACCAGAAAGACCTTCATGGGATGACTGGGGCCTTTAGGGAGCCAACCTTGCCTCTGTCCTTCCCTGGCCCTGTGCCTGCTGGTGTCCTTCTCAGGGCTGGGACCACTGGGGCAGAGACCTCCATGGAAGCCAGGGCTGGCAAGCTTCCCCTCATGGTGACTTGACTGGAGTGTACAGGAGAGGTGGGAGGGGTGCCCTCTCCCACATCCGGCTGGTAAGATGCTCGACCTACTCTCGCTGACCCGAGGACCCTCACTTGGCCCTTTTCCCTTGCTACTGGCCTTTTCCTTGCTTCAGACATCTCCAAAAGGCAGAGTGGAGGGAAGATGGACATAGATCCCAACAGAAAACACAGCTTCGGGGCTGGAGAGATAGCTCAGAAGAAAAAGTGCTTGCCTAACAAGGGCAAGGTCCTGAGTTCAATCCTCAGTACTACTAGAAAGAAAGAAGAAAGAAAGAAAGAAAGAAAGAAAGAAAGAAAGAAAGAAAGAAAGAAAGAAAGAAAGAAGAAGAAAATACAGCTTCAGGAAAGATAGCATTAGCCACTTACCGCAGCATGGGGCCACATAATCAAGTGGCATCTGTGGACTGGGAAAAAAGAGTGTGGCTGTTTCTTAAGGGGTTTTTTTCCCTCTCTAGTAATTGGGATTGAGCCCAAGGCTTCTCACCGAGCTATACCCCTACACACACACACACACACACACACACACACACACACACACACACATTTTTTAAGACAGGCTCAGACTGAGCTGGCCAGGCTGGTCTTAAACTTGAGATACTACTGCCTCAGCCTCCCAGCACCCCAGCATGTTGGGGTGATAGGTGTGACCCACCCCCACTGCACCTGGTTGCAAATTGACTTCTAACTGGTATGTGTGCTTTGTGTGTGTGTGTGTGTGTGTGTGTGTGTGTGTGACAGTTATGTCAAGCCCATGGGAAGAGGGCAAACCTCTGCACTCCTTAGGCAATGTCTCAGTCTTTACACAGCCCCCAGGGGTAGAAATCCTCCAAGTTGATGTGAGTCAAAGGAATGAAACTGACGCTGAAGCAGCGGCGGCGTTCTGGGGGCACCCTGGATATTCACCTAAGCCAGCAGGTGGCCCCGTGCAGCGCAGCCCGCTGGGCTCCAGGCTCACCTTGTGATTTTGGTAGGAAGTCACCGCGATAAACGCCGTCTCCGGAAAAACGTGGGTGCAGAACGCCGTGTTTTTTGAACCAAATCCATTATTTTCATCTGCTTTCACGATGTGTAATCTGGGCTGGTATTTGTGCATGGAATTTAGAATAATCTAAAAATAATAAAGAAAATTAGATTATAAGAAAGTCAAAACTCCCATTGTCTCTGAATAAATCCCTACTCCCCCTCTCCCTGAACTCCTGGAATTAGCCTCCTTATACAGTCCCGTGGAAAAAAAAATAGTCTTTTTTTTCTTCCTGTTTTAAAAAGGGGCCAGTTATTTCATTAAAAAGGAACATTTCAGAAATGACAATTTCCAAAAAAAAAAAAAAAAAAAAAAAAGCCAAGGTAATATTCCAGGAATCTACCCAAGGCACACGAGGCAGTAAATCAGAATTCTTAATAAAGTTTGCTTAATAAATTAACTCTCTGCATAAGGTACTTCCTGCCCCCACCCCAGGAGAAGCCAAGGGAAGATGAAGAAAGAGGGCCAGGAACTTTTGCAGGAGGGCGAAAGAAACAAACAAATACGTAAACTGGCTAAGAACTTCCTGCGCACGTGCACACAAAACCCGTTTAAAAGGTGCAAGGGGAAAACTCGAAGCATTTGTCAGGCTGGAATAAAATTCCCCAGCGTACCTGCAACACAGCCTTATTCTGAGAGTTGACGGGTGAACAGATCTCAAATCTCCAAGTCTTTGTTTGGAGAACACGCAAAGAGGAGTGGGTGAAAAGGAGGTGTGTGGGAGGAACGGGAGGGGGGATGTGGGGGAGCGGGCTGGCCTCTAAGGACAGCGAGATGCAAGGAGGGAGCGCCCCAGAACCCTGACCCGGCAAAGGCAGGAGCCATTTGCCCCCAGACTGGCTTTCTCCAACTTCATCAGTGTTGCAGGGTCCACAGCCAGAATTATCTCCAGCCTTGGAGCTGCTCTAGCCGCCTCTGGGGGAGCGTCCTTCTTTCTTTCCACCGCCCGAAGCTGGGGGTTCTCCTGGGGCTGAGGTCTCGGGGGCTTCCCCGTTATTATCACTGCTGCCATTCTTAGGAGGAGGAAAACCATGACTTCCCACCGCTCGTTCTTGCCGGAGTCAGGACTATCGGAGCATCGCTCCTAATAAAACTCGGTTTGTTGTCCTCCCGATGCCTGCATTTGATGCTCCCGGAAGGCTGTTAACGCTAATATTTACCCAAACTGCTCCCGTATTTATCCACTGAACAGACACATTACTGCATTTAAGGTCTTTAAAAGAAAAAAAAAAATCTGCCCTGGTTTTTCCCCAAGATGGCAAACTGCAGCGGCAGCGAGACTCGTCTCAGTGTCTTTGATTATTTGTGTTGATGACCCTGGGGCAGGGTTCCGGGACCAACCCTGAAGACCCCAGAGTGGGGGTGGGCGAGCAAGCCCTACGCCCCGCGGCTCCGGACCTGGCCTCAGGCTCTAATCTCCGGCTGCAGGGACGGGCCGCCTCCCTGGCCGATAGCGACGCCGGCCGACCGGGGTGGCGTGGCGACAGAGAGACGCAGAGGGGCCCCCGCCGGCCGCCACAGGCCACAGCAGTGCAGCCATCCTCCCAGCTTAGCCAAATTGCTTTGATGGCTGGGGACAGGGCAGAGACATCAGCGTGAGAGTGATCTAATGGCTCCTAATTTCATTAGGGGTCTGGATTAAAAGCCCAAAGTCTGGGGTCGAGCACTTCTCCCTCTTCTCCTAAACTACGCAGAAGGACTGGAAACTCACAAGGGCGCCTCCAACGTGGTGGCAGGGCTGTGCCCCTTGCCTGGGTGTCCACCCCAGTGAGCCCAAAGGCATAGATAAGAAAGCAGAGTTAAAGGCAAGAGCTGAGACGGCGCTGGGTTTGGTGCCACTTCCCAGGCTGGGCTATCACGGAGGTCACTGCCCCAGTAGTCCCAGCCCTGAGAAGGACATCAGCAGGGAGACCCTGAAAACACCTTTTGCAACAGTCCTGTTCCTTCTAGGCCTTTGAACCTGGAGGAGAGCCCTGGCCAGCCAACACTCAAGAAGCCGGAAGTCCTCTCAGCACATGGTCCCCAGAAAGCCACAGGCACCTGGCACCCTTCAGGGACCTTCTGGTGGCACAAAAGGGGAAGGGGACTTTCTGCTCCCAGGTCAGCCACCCTACCTTCTCACCACCACCCCCACTGTGCGTCCATTCCTACCGGACCCTCCTTCTCCTCATCCATGGGTGAGGCAGTGCAGAGCTGCCTTCAGAAGTAGGGGGATGGCACCTCACACACAAACTGTGTGGCCCTGGGCAAGTCACTTCCCTCCCCCTGCACAGCTCTATGCAAAGCCCGAGCACTTTCTCCTTGGCCATGAGCTCATTCGCGAGTGGAGACACCAAGCCAGGAATTCTACACGTGGGATTCTGACACTGAGTTTTCTAGTGAACATTTTCAGTGAAGAGAGTCAGGGAAATGTCCTCCTAAATCAGTGTTCTGTTCTTCATTTTCCTTGTGGAAGGGAAGGGAGTGATTCCCTACTGAGAATCCACTAGAAGCTGCACACTGTCTTGCACAGGGGGAGGGCCTTACACACTCAACCTCCTGCATGTAGTTTTGGGGCATTCACCCAGCCTGCCCCTCTCTTGGGCCAGTGGAGAATCCAGACTGCATGTGCCCAGGCATGGGTCGGGGAGAAGGCCAGACAGGCAGGGAGAAGAAAAAAAGAAAGAAAGAAAAACAGATCTATCAACAGCAGCCAGCTAGAAGGAGGCGCTGGTGCCACGGCTTGCCTCCTCTGAGCCCATCTACCACCTGGAAATGGCAAATGAATGGGGCAGGTGACATGGGCTCTCTCCCTCTCCTCAGGAACTTCCAGTAATAGTGAAGCAAGGACTGGGAAGAGACGGGAGGTACAGGGTGGAGAGCTCCGACCCCTGACCACCCGCAGGACTGAGCCTCAACTGGTTCCCCAGACCGTTTGCGTTGGGCTTTCATCACCCTAGGACCTCCATACCGCGCCAAAGGTAGAAGGCTGCATGCTGGGGCCCCACTCTCAACCCTGTGCCAGCGGAACTGGGGAGCCTGTCTTCAGGTGCCACTGGAAGGCACAACCGGAAGACAGCGGGGAATGCACACTCCGAGCAGGAAGACGGTGTATGTGGAGGAAAAGAAAAATGGAAAGAGGGAAACGTGGGCGAGGAAAGGAGGAGGGTGAGCTCAGGAAAGAGAGAAGAGACGCAAAACGTGGGAGAAAAAGAAGAGAGGCGAGCAGCTGAGATCAGGAAGGAAGAAATCAGCGCAGAGGGGCGGAAGGGCTTTAAAGAAGCTGCCAGGACAAAGCAGAGTGGAGACTCACGTGCCCAAATGGGTCCAGGTGGTTGTTGGTGAGCTTCAGCTTCTGGAAGGAGACCAGCTGTCGCATCCAGTGCGCGCCAGTGGCCGGCGAGTCCGGGTGCACATAGAGGCGGCCGGGCATGGCAGGCTCAGCCTTGCCGGTCACAGACCTAAGACCAAAGAGCGGCGTTAGCAATCCAAGGGGCCAGCGGGGGCCAGCGGCGACCTAGCCTGGCCCTCCATCTCCTTTCCGGGGTCTCCCAGACACCCCTGTGTGCCTTGTGTGTGTCCAGCCAAGCCTCCAGCTTGGCTCACACTTCACCTCGTCCCTGCCCCAGCGCCAGCAGCACCAGGGGCCTTGCAGCCTCCCACTGCCCACAAACAATCCGTGGTTTCTGGATGTCTGGGCGTGTAAAAAATCTTGAAAACTCTTTAAGTGCTGGGGGGGCGGGGGGCTTCCGTTCCAGCCTTTGTACTATTGGCAGCCTCAGGAGCACCAGAGCCACGGAATGAGCCTCTCTTCTTTCGCCTTTTCAGCTCCAGTACCATGGGCTGGATTTTGCAATTTCATTAAAAAAAAAAAAAAGTATATTCAAAGCAGGTAACTCATAAAAATTGCTGCAAATGGTTTTATGTCTCCAGAAATACATGCAGCACTTGGGAACAATGCGCTTTTTAAAAAACTGATGCCCCATAGGTGCAGCAATAGGTAGACGGCAGCTCATTTCCTCCAAGCCTCAGTTTTCTGGTCTCTAAAATGGAAGTTAGCAGGTGCTAGTGCTTTGCTTTTGGGGGACCTAGAGGAGGGCAAAGGCCAGGAGCACACAGAAGGAGCCAGTCACTGGCTCAGCGGTCCCGTGGCACCCCGGGGCCTACCATTTATTATCTGCGAACTTGTATCTGTGGTCATCAGCAGGCACGATGTCCATGAGGAGAATGTATTTGGTTTTGGGATTCAGGCCGGTCACCTTCACTTTGTAACTGGGAAACATCCGCCTAGGAGAGGGGCGGGGAGGAGAGAGAAGGCAAGGACTGAAGGCCGATATCCTGAAGCGCATGTCCAGGAGTTTTAATGGAAACACAGTTCCTTGAGAAACAGACCAGAAAGCTGGCTCCGCTCCGCTCTCCCTGAGATCCAGCCCGGGTTTCCCCGGAAGTTACGAGGAGAAGCGCGTGGGCTGGCGAAGAAGAAGTAGGTGGCAGCGGAGGTGCCCAGGAGGAAAGCAGAGACCAAGCTGCTGCTTAGAGAGCCTTGATTTTGAAGGCCCGAAGAGGGACTCGCTTTCTGCTTACTAAATGCGCCCTTCTGGGCCCGACGCCTACTCTTTGGGGAATTGAAACTCATTCGGTACTGGGTCAGCCACCTCTTCCCCCGTGACAGGTGTTCTCTGTGTCCCCAACACACACCACCACCACCACCACCCGCATGTGCACACTCAGGAGAGACACACAAGCATGTGCCTCTGCCCTCCCCCCCCCCCTCCAGAGCTCGGTTGGTGGTTTTCGGGGCGATCCCCGGTTCAACCCGATGGTTGTAGGAACACGCGTCTTCAGCAGGGGTTATCCCTGAACGCCACCCCTTGCCCCAAGGCGCCTGGTACTCTGCCTAGGAGGGCTAAAACCCTTGACCCCCGAAGAAGTGCCAACCCATCCAGATTTGAGCTGGGAAAGAGCTGGGGCCTAGGCTGGGACACAGCGGCTTCTAGGCCCGCGGGGCGCAGGGCGAAGGCTCGATAACCCTTGGCCGCTGCATGGCGCGCTCCCAGCTGCTTTCCCGCCCCGAGAGGAGTGCGCCCCCGAAATCGGAGATCTGGAGGCCGGCCCGGGCGAAAGGCCGAGCTGCTGGACCTCCGCGGGCCCAGCGTTGGCGGGAAGGGCGAGCGAGGCCTCGCCCCCAGCCCCGGAGCCCGGGCCTGCAGTGTTTACAGCCCCCGCGCGCCCGCAGGCGGAGGCGGCGGCGCCCGAGACCTCGCAAGCCTTTTATAGTTAGATCCTCTCGGCTCGGGCGCGGGGAAAAGGCGCCCGGCTGAATCTTTGCTTCCTCGGCGGGGGATTGGGAAGGAGACCTCAGCGCCTTGGTGTAAACACAACGCAAGCCTCGCGGTTCATTCCGGCTGTGCGCCGAGCGGGGAGCCGACATTGTTTAATTCCAAATAATAATAAATGTCACCAGTGTCGGTTTATTGCAGGAGGCTTCGGCTGAAGAACTGGGGGTGTCTGGAGAGGGGGCTCCACCCTGTGTCTTCACCCAGTCGGCAGCCTCTCCCGCTGCACCCGCTGCTAGGGCGGTCTGGGGTTTCTTTTCTCGTTGGGAGCACAGGACCCGCTCGCAGGGGCGGGGACCCGGCGAGGCTGTCAGGGCGCGTGCACCCGGGCGCAGAGCTGCGGGGTCCTGCCACCCGCTCCGCCTCGAGCCTAAGTTTTCTAGCTGCGACGCGCGAGCTTGGAAAGGAACGGAGGGGCGAGAGCGTTCGCCAAGCTGCCGTGTTTACCGGTGTCTGTGTATAGAGCTCCGCCGAGCCCCGGTTCACTTTCAAAGGCTTCGCCTTCTTTCTATAAACAATGAACGAGGTAGCGAATACATTCAACAATCCCGAGTTTGGCAGTCGGGCAGCACCCTGGAGCCACTCCAAGGTCGGGCGGGTGGGGCGGGGTGGGGGTGGGGGCGAGGGCTCGCGGCCCAGGTCTGTGAAATCTAAGGGCCTTCTCTCCGTCTTGTTTTCCCTTTCCTTCCTTCCCTCTTTCCTCCTTTTTTCATTGCTCATCCACCGAGACAACCCAGCCTTCCAGCCCCATCTTTTCTGTATTCGAGGTGGAAGAAATAAATGTCCTGTGTCGGGAGTCCAAGATCGGGGCGTCTCCCCGCTTCTTCTGAGAACCAAAGATCTCCCCCTGTGCCTCTTTGATCAGAATCGAGTTAAGCAAAACGTTCATACTCAGTCTCTCTCCCTCCCCCTTCCTCTCACCTCCGTTCTCTGTCCCTCTTTTGCTATTTTCTTTCTGCCCTCTTCCCCCGTCCCCCCCCCACACGCACCTTTTATTGTCTCCCGTAACTGCCCACCAACCAGCTCACCTTCCGGCCTTCGTGATGATCATTTCCGTGCCCACTTCGTGGAATTTCAGCCACAGTTCTCTTTCGTGGAGAAAAACCTTGATTCCTTCCATACCCTGCAGGAAGGGGCGGGGTGGAGGGATCACAGCAGCAAGGGTCAGCGGTACCGAGGCTCGCTCACCCCCCACCAACTCCCTGAGCACCCACAGGCGGCTTCTCCTCCTCCCCAAGCCTGAGCCACAAGACAGAGAAAAGTTTGCCTCCGCCAGCTACGCTACGTAGTCGGCGGCGGCGGCGGCGACCTGGGCTGTGCCTGTTCTCCCTCTAGCCAGAGGGGCAGCAACTCCTAGCTCCTCCAGCCCTGGGCTTCTCCGTTAATACCACCAACCAGTATAAAGCTCCAGAGCAATAACCACAGCGGTGCTTCAGGAGGACTGGGGGGGACAGGCTGGGCGATTTCAACGTGGCTGAGATACAATTGGGGACAAAAGTAAAAACCTCCATTTAGAACACCCCCCCATCTTCCTGTGTAGACACCCAGGTGTGCACTCACAAGGGTGCAAACAGTCGTGCAAACCATGTGTGCAAGTTTCTCTTCAATCACAGTGGGAGCAAATATGAGCAGACTTTCAAGCAACTTAAAAGCGCTTGCAATTATGACGTGTTCCCAGAGTTCAGAACAAAAAATAAAAAAGATTCTCTAAAGCGTCTATATTAATGAACCTCCAGGGCCTCTATACACCTAAGACCATCCACTCCCAGGGATTTTGATGATAGGTGACAGCCGAAGCCAGCTAACATTCCATTTTTAACTGAAAGTTGTTTTACAAAATCGAGGCAAAAAAAATAATGCAAAGTATGTTATTTTTTGGTGTGTTTTTTTTTTGTTTGTTTGTTTGTTTTGGTGGAAACGAGGATTGAACTCAGGCTTTTGAGCTTGCCAGGCCAGCAATTATTCTACTGAGCCATCTCCCAGACCCTGCAAAGTATGTTTCCAAATAATTAATAATAGCGTAAAAAAATGGAGTCTTTTTTTCCTTAAAAGAATCTGTAAGTTACCCAGGCTGTGCTCAGGAGGGGTGCTTCTATTAAAATGCATGTGGCTTTTTTTTTTTTTTTCAATGCAAAGGCAGACTTGGTGAAAAATCCTAGGACAAGAAAACCCCAAGGAAGCATCTCAGCTATGTGACCATGGTCTTCTGGCCAAGTCACCCCACTTTGTTTACTGTGACACTTACTAGAAAATCATGGGGTCTGCTAGGGCCCCTCCAGCACCCAGTGCCACTGGGTTTAGGAGCTGGGAGCAGGGTGAGGTGTCCAGCCAGGCGAGTCCCAGGCTATGTGCCCTCCTGGCCCAGCCCCGTGCACTCCTCTGCTGGCGGTAGTGAGGGTAGCTGGCCAATTTAGCCGCACCAGGCCCCGCACCAGGCCTCCACCGAAAGACAAATGGTGCTCGAGCTGGGGCCCAGACGGAGCTCTCAGAGGCGAGGGCTACGGAAGATCTAAAGAGGGGTCAAGCCATCGCTCACAGGGCTGGGAGCGACTACTGACCGGGTCCTTAATAAGGGGATCCTGGACCAATGCTGCACTTAGTGCTTGGGGGCGGGGGGAGAAAAAATTACCTAGGCCATTGTTAGCTGACCTCAAATAGCTGGGTAATCCGAAATTTTTCCAACAATTTAAATAAGTCTCAAAAATCCTCAGGCCATAAAGATAATTGTCCCAATAAGGTGGGTTGCAATACAGTGGGATTTGAGGTTGCCAGTATGCTGGAATTTGGGGAGACAGGGCAGAAAACAATGGGATTGAGTAAGAATACAAGGAAAGAGAGCAATACCTGGGACTGGGGGATTCTCTGCGTTCCCAAGAGGGACTGAGCAGGGAAAACAAACTTGGCTTTGGTCTCTGCAAAGAACAGCCAGGGAGAGAGCGAGATCTCCTTACCTGCTGGGTGAAGGCGGCCTGTGGAGATGACGGAGACTTGCTGGGGGCTCCTAAGGCGTTCTCAGCTTTGGGGTCGCAGGACAGGTCTTTCGAATCAGGCTCCAGAGGTGTGTGCGTCAAGCCGAAGCCTTCGTCTGCATCAGCCATGGTGCACCCCAGGCCAGTCCCCGCGCAAGGTTCTGCTCTGAGAGGAGACGGAGAGGAAGTTGGAGAGGGCAGTTCTAGCAATGGGGAGCAAGAACTTGCTCTGTTTTCCAGGACCTCTTTTCCTAGCTCAAGGAGGCTGCAGAAAGTCCTATTAATATTATTATTATTATCATTATTATCATTACTATTACTTTCTGACCACATACAACCTCTCTCAAAAGGCACACAAGCATTTTTTGCCTGTCTTCGGAGCAGGAGAAGAGCCTCACTTCGCTCCTGCGCAGGCTCTATAGATAAGCAAGCTGCCTGTCAAATTTGTCCGAACTCCTGTAAGAGCCAATAAAGATAACACATTGATATTTTTGGAAGCCATTGGGTACTAACCAAAAACGAACCAAACAAAAACCCAGGGCCCTTAAGAGAATGTCTTTTCTCTGTCCATGTACAGGAGCCTGGCAGAGCTTTATACGCAACCTTACGAAAGAATGTAAGTCCGCAGCCAGTCAAATGCCCTAACTAACCCGCCTCTTGCAAAACCAAAAGCAGAAGAGTAAATGAATATGCAAACGATGACACCAGTTTCCAAAAGAAAATTTCTGCCATCTTTAACAGATACAGGCCAGGCCAAAAAGTTGAAAGATCTTTAAAATTAAAAGTTCCCACCCTTTCCCCAAACTTAAGTTTGACTTGTCAAAAATAAGTACAAAGTATCCAGACAGAGAGAGAGATACCCAAGGAAGAAACTGACTGCAGCAGGTCTCAGAAGAGAGGGCCCAGCTGCCCTGAGTGGGGGGTCTCTCGGTTTTCTAAGCTCTCAATCAGGGCTAGCTTTTTTTTTTTTTTTTTTTTTTTGCCTCCCTGAGCTGAAGGCCTGGCTAGAGGCTGGAGGGGTCAAACTCGGTCCCTGATAAATGTTGGTTACAGGTACTGAACTGCCTGCCCTGTCCGCTGAATGGTCCCCTGCAGGAGGAAGCAAGGCCCAGTTTTGCAGGACCAAAGGACGGAACTCAAAAACCACAGCAGCGAAGAGGTTACAGCCTGCCTCCTGCTCTCCGACCTTTGCATCTCCTCTTCACTTCCAGCTAAGGATTCGTACCACCAACCCCGGTGGCTGAGACCTTGGGAAAGGAAACCGAGACACCGCGCCCATGATCTTAGTAGCCGCTTGGGCAAAAGACTGGATCCCACCCCGGTCTGCAGTGGCCCAAGGTCTAAAGACGGGGCCGAGAGGACGGGCTTTGGAGGCCCGGTCCCCAGGCAGCTGCTTTCCCGTCGCCCTTGCAGTTTGAGGGAGGCAGCGGTGGGAGCCAGGCAATGTGCTCACAACAAAAGAAAGCAGGGCCGGCGCCCCCACATACACGCCGGTTCACTCCGGGCCGCGGGTAGAATCCCACCCCGCGCCCTTGCCAGGGTCCGGGGAGCTCGGGGCTGGCAGAGGCGAAAGAGATGCGCTTTGACAGAACCAGGCCGCGCTTACTGAGGGCCTCACCGCCGCTCCCCCGGCCGGGGCCGCCTCCGGGGCTCGGCTGCCGGGAAGGTCCGGGCCGCGCCGCCCTCCGCAGTCGGGCTCTGCAGGGCGCGGGGCTAGGCAAGTCCGCCATGCGCGGCTCCCACCCGAGCCGCCCCAGCCGTCTCTGGGGCCGGTTACCTCGCTCGCTCGGCGGAGCCGGTGCATTCACCACGTCCCCTCGTCCTTCTAGCAGGGAAGCCGGCGGTGAGGCGAGGGCGCAGGCATGGTGACTCCGGGCTTCATGCTGGGGACCGCTCGCCCAGCCTAGCGGATCCCGCCGCCCACAAAGCCGCGGCCCTCTCTGCAGCCCAGGCGGCGACTGCCCACCTCAGCACACACCTCCTCCGCTCGATGCTCTCCCTGAACACTTCCAAGCTGTCAGGCGCCAGAGGGGCTCCCAGAAACACCGAGCAGCGGTTCTCAGAGCCCCCACAGCCCAGCTGAGCAAGCCGCGGGGCTCCACTCCTCCTCTGCACCGCCGGGAAGGAAAAGCTAGGAGAGGAGCGAGTCCAGGGAATTTTCTGAAAGTCTTTCCTGAGCGCTGCTTTCAGGGTTAAAGCTCCGGAATTCGAGGTAAGAGCTCTCTCTCTCTCTCTCTCTCTCTCTCTCTCTCTCTCTCTCTCTCTCATACAAGGCAGCTCTACTGAGCACAGTGACGTTGACTTACATTGATGCTTATTACAAAGTACAGAAATTGCCTATCCAACTAGCTCCTACCGCACACTGCCTCTCCCTCCCTCCCTCCCTCCCTCTCCCTCTCCTCTCCTCCCCCCACCCTCTTTTCCTCCCTCTTCCACCTACCACTTTTCCCACTTTTCCACCAGCTTTCCCAAACACGGCTCACGCCGCGACTTTGCAGCCCAGACCTGGCGCTCACCCCTCCCCTCCGCCCCCTTCCCAACCTTCATCCATCTGCGCTGTTCTGAGCTGGTGGCCGCAGCGAGAAGCAAGCACAAATCACAGCAAGCCCTTCTCCCCGTGAAGTGCAGTAATCCCCAGGACCGGCCCTGCCGAGAACCCCGCTCTGAAGGCTCTGGAGGCCCTGAGAGAGCACGCACGCGCCCCGGCCTCTGCAGCCTCGCCCACATTCTCTCTTCAGCGCTGACCTCAAGCCGAGCTGTGTGACCCCGCGTGGCCGCAGGAGCCTGGGCTGGCTGCCCTGCCATCTCTTCTCCAGCCCCCACTCATCACCCCCACTCTCAACCACTGGAGATGAAGGCAGAGTAAAGGTGCCTTGGGGTGAGGAGCAAGATCAAAGATGCCAAGAAATCATCCTTGCGTTGGGTCTGCACCCCACCCCCACCCCACTAGGGCCACCGGACCGCCCGGCTGGAGGTGTACACAAGGCAGTACCCAGCCTTATTAAAATAATCAAACAGTCACCAGTGCTGGCCGGGGTTTTCGTCTCCCTGCGCTCCTCTCCCTGCCCTCAACTCTGAAATGCACTGTTCTAAGGGTGATTGAAGAGGTCAGCAGATGCAGAAACAGTCAGTTAATAGTTGTCCTGGAATAGACCAGAGTGGGACACCCAGTACTGGCTGGGGCTTAGAATAAACTGCAGGGGTCCTGTCCTGCTTCCCACCCCTGCACCCCTTTGTCCTGTTCTTTTTCTGGGCTCTGACTGACACTGGGTCTGGGGAAAGGCATGAAGGGAGAAGAAATGTCCCGAGATCAGCTGCAGGGCAGCCCAGGGTCTTCCAAGCTTCCAGACAGAGCACCTGGGGAGAAAACCAACTCTACCTCCTAAGTTTGTTTTAAAGCAGACCTTGGCCAAAGCAATCCATGTTATTCGTAAAAACATCTTTACTTCCAAACTGTCAGCTCCAGGCCTCTGGGCTTGCTGAAGAGGTGTCCAGGTTGGAGAACAAATCAAAACAGGGATGAAAACAAGCATGGCAGCAAGAGGAGCCTGCGTCCCCACCTCTCTGGTAGAAGGAAGGGGAAATCCAGAAAGATCGTTCCAATCCCTTTACATTCACAGAGATTTGGGGGATGAAATTAATTCCCATAAATAATCTGCAGACTCTTCCCAAGAGGGAAAGTCTGGACTCCCCTAAGTAACAGCACTGCCAGATTCGCTGACTTCCTGGAGACAGGGCATGGAGTAGGCTACTTTGCGAAACTGGGATTATTATCAGGGAAGGGGCACAATCCATCCTTACCAGCGACACCTGAGATCAAAATTCAAAAGTATGATGGGCTTATTTTTCTCACAAGGTGGGGTGAGGGGATACAGCAAGGTGGCATAGAAATGGGAGGCCAGGGATCCTGAGGCAGAGGGAGTGAGGAGCGAGTTGACTGAGGTCTCCCGGGCCCAGACTCACCTCAAAAAAAAATCCCACCTCTTCTTTCCTCGTAGAATCCAGAAGTATACCTCGCTGAGACGGGGGCTTCAGGGCTTTCAAGGAACCCCAAAGCGACCCCCGTCTTAGGTCAAACTTCTCTCCAAGGTCTGTCCGGAGGAACACAGTACCTCCCAGTTCGCAGTTGGCTTGTGGTCTCCAACAAATTAAATATTACTGTTTATTACCAGGCATACCCCAATAAAATAAAGAGGCAACCAGGCGATACGGACTATCTCACCAGCCGCTGCACCTATAGGACTTGGAGACGTCACCAGTCACGCAACCGGCCCGCGCTGTCACGCTTGACTTGGGGGGCAGCGGCGGGAGGTTCACGTCTCTGTCTTCCTCTGTCAATATCGGTCCACTCAGCAACAAGTCCGGGACGCCCTGGCCCCGAGGAATAAATAAACAAACAAACCCAGCGCTCTCCCAGGGGAAATGTGGGTGGTGAACATAAAGACACAAATAAGGCCAAGATTGATTTTCTTAGAGCCAAGAAGAGAAGGGGGCGAAGAGAGGTGGGCACCCACCTCGGGCCTCTTTGGGAAGCAATCGAGTTCTTAGGAAGATGGGACCTCTTGCAAGAGGCCAGGGTTTCTTGGTATTTAACAAAAAAAAATTATTTTTTTTTTTCTGCAGAGGAGCTCAGCTCTCCGCAAAAATGAGCGGGGGAGTTTCTCCTGGGCTTGCGTTTGGGACGCGATAGCCATGCGCCCAATTGCGGAGCAGCACAAAGCAATTACTGGATCATCGCAGAGGGGAAACAAGAAACCGATGAGAAGTTCTTAGGGAGAAAGAGAGTTGCCCGAGATGTTTCTTGCAGGCAGAAAAGGCCCTTGCGAGAAGGCTCCTTTGACCAGGTCCGGGGAAACAATTTGTCCCAGAGTGGCCCGGCGGGGGGTGGGGTGCGAGTGGGTGGAGGAGCGAGGGTGGGGTTGCAAAGCATGATTTCTGCGAACAAAAATCACAGAGCTGGTCCCGCAGAGGGATGAGGCACTCAATTTCGTTCTGTAATAACGACGACAATTATTTCTAGTCTGATCAAAGGGCGCGATTTCTAAGTAGCCGGGTGGTTGTGCGCAAGATTTTGCGCGCCAGTGGAGATCCGCTACCTTGAGTTCCGAAACCCACGGTGTAGATGCCCCTGGCAGCGGCGCGGGAAGAGCTGGGCCTGTCCAGCGCAGGCTTGTGCTTCGAGCCTTCAGGAAGGGTAAGTTCCCGGTCCGCCCAGGAGCCCCCGAGGGAGCCAGGCCTCTGAGTCTGGACTTGTCCCCAGCTTCAGGGTTCGATTCTGGATTTTGCGCCCCGCTAACCTCCAGGGCTTTCCAAAGCATGGCCTGGCTGAAGGCCCGGTCTACCCAGGATGGAGCGGCGGCGATATGTGCAGGGGCGCCGTGGGCCGAGCAGCTACGGGAGCCAAGGTCAGGCCCGCGGGGACAGCAGGCAGTGGCTTCCAGCGTGACCGCGGGCTCCCGGGCCAGCCCGGCGGCAGACACCGCCGCTTGCAGCCAACAGAACCCGCGCCTTCCTCTCGGCCCAGCTGCTCTGGCTTCGCTTTCGTTTCTCAAATTCCTAACTAGCATTCCCCAAATCCGAGGCCTGTTCACGGACCCTTCTCTTCTAGGAGTCTCACTGCAGCCCGAAATGAAATTCTCCGTGGGAACCCTAGATCCGACGCGTTCCCAGACGCCCTACGGGCCTAGGTAGGCCGGAAGCGGAGGTCTAGGCCCCACTGGGCAGGAGGGGAAAAGTGAACTACAAATGCGGCGAGCTCCTTCTAGCTTGACTCCTCTCTTTCAAATTTTGGCCGTAGCCGCCTGGACCAGCTCAAAAAAGACCCTAGAAGTCCAGCACTCGAGGGCTGTACCTCAGATAACCGAAACTAAACAGCCCAGTTCGATTTTACAAATCTCATTCTGTCCAATCTGACCGTTTGGGCAGTTGACTCTGGATCCTGCCGCGCCGTAGGCCTGCCTCCCTCCTTTTGGAAAAAATGATGCGTCCCTAACGAACCTGCTCTCAGCTCGGCTTTGCCCCGAAGTGTATTGTTCTCCTTTTGAAAATTTCCGCCCTTGCTATAATACTCTGAAGGCTGGGAGAGATTGGGATGCTATTTTTTTAATTAAAACAAACAAAAAGAAAAACAGAGTGGTGACTGTTGATCTCGCTTCCATTTTTCGTCTGTTTTTAAAGAAAGTCACATTCAACACTACTAGATTTTGTCCTCTCCAAAAAGAATACGTTCAGAAGTCCACGCCTGTCCACCTCTCCCAAGATGACCCATCCCCACCTCATGCACCCCGGGCCTCCTCCAGGGCCCCAGAAGTAGACGGGAAGTGCAGATCGCGCTGGGAAAATTAATAAGCACAATAACAATAGAAATGATGACAAAACTAAACTTTGACCAACTTATTTTGCAAAAGAAATGGGTCAGGCTGAGGATGGGAAATTTCCTCTTTTCTCAGGAGGTCACTTTCCCTCTCACCTAGTGAAATCTGGCTCCATTATATTTTTTCCAGGGCCACAAGAGTTCTCCCAATGTTTTATTCAGTTCCTACTTTTCTCCCTTTGACCTGAAATCTCTGGGAAGAATATTGCTGGTGACTGTCGCTGCTGCTGTTGCTATTATTATTACTAATCACTATGCAGTATCCCCCTGTAGTGTTTCTGCCCCCAACTCCCTACTATGGTTGCTCCCCCCAAATGCTCCTGTTGTGGAACTGTTCCTCCGTACTCCTCAAGCTTGGAGTATGGCATTTTGTTTTTGCTTTGCTGCTTTGTTTCCTGCTAAGCATAATGAGAAATGGTAGTGGGTGAAAGGGACAGAAGTGTATCCCGGTGGTCTGCACCCTTCTGAAGAGCTGAGGAGGTGCCAGTGAGTGGCTGCTGTTCCCACCCCCTCGGATCTGGAAAGTTAACCACCTGAGAAAGATGAGGATCTGTCGAGAGAGCCCAGAGCTTGAGCATCCTGCAAAAGCAGCTGTCTCCGCGGCCCAGAACCCGCTGAAAGTCCTCTGGGTATGGCTCCCGGGTGGACGCGATCAGCAGCCTCCGAAAGGTGTAGGGGGGGAAGCAGCCTGAATTCCAAGGCTCTGACTTTGTCAGATGGAGAGTTAGGCTAAACCTAGCAGGTCTGGGCTGCAGGCAGGGGGCCTGTCTGGATGCCCCCTTCACCATCACTGACGGGTGAGATGGAAATTTGGGAGCCCGCTGTTCTCTGGGGCTCTGGAAAGACAAATTTTCTTTGGCAAACGGAACAGTGTCGCGCTGTCGACACCGCAGACTATTTTTCTTGTTCCCTCTCAGGGTGGGGTGGGGGGAGAGAAAAGAAAGCAAGAAAGAAAGGGAAATTAAATCCACACGTGTTAAGCTTGCTCAAAGGGCTGGATTCAAACTCAGAGATGAAACTACAGTCCCGACGCTGGCTGCCTGCAGGGCCTCTTTCCAGCCAGCCCGGCTTGAGGAGCAAGGCATCCTCACCAGACCGAATTCAATCCCAGGTTTCATAAACCCTGCACTTAAGGGAGAGGGAGCGTAGATCCCTCCTAAGTCAAGGCTCAGAGGTCCTGAACTTGGAGGGACAAAGAAAACAAAGGAGATCGCAACTGTGGAATAATTACCTCTTTTAGGAAAGCTCAGCTTGAAGGCTGCTCCTTCAACCCAAGGCTTCAGGCAAAATCCACCCCAGGGCCAAAATGAGCTAGGCCAGTGATTTTGAAAATTCCTGAGGTCTGATTAGGTTTTTCTGACTTGGGCTGACCTTGGTTAAAAGAACCTGAAACTGTTTCATTGAGGCCAGAGTAGCCGGCTAAGTCTGAGAAGCTAAACCTTGCTGTCCTTGCACCCCTGTTACCCTGGAGAAATTTGCAGCGCAGGAGGCTGTAGGAGCTCGCACAAGCTGCGGAGGAGGTGGAAG